TTTGGATTAGAAAGCACCTGAAACCCCACCCAGTGCCACCCCTGCCATGGGCAGGGATATCTCCCACTGTCCCAGGCTGCTCCAAGCCCCGTCCAACCTGGCCTGGGACATTTYCAGGGATCCAGGGGCAGCCACAGCTTCTCTGGACACCCTGTGCCAGGGCCTGCCCACCCTCCCAGGGAAGGATTGTGTCCAGAGAGTCTGGAGAGGAGCCAGCTCAAGATGGGTTCCCCAGCCAGGCTGCCCCCCTGGGGGGTGGTTTTCTGCACCAGGTCCTYCCTCAGCCCCCAGGCTCCCTCCCATGCCAGGGATGCTCACAGTGGAGCCCTGTCCAGGCGAGCATCATCCCTGAACAGCACAGCTTCCTGCTCTCCTGGTGGGGCTCAGTTCCAGCCAAGGAGTAATGTGGTTATCGTTCCCAGACTCTGTGACTCATCCCTTCACCAGCAATTATCAGGCTGATCAGTTATGAAACCTGCTCATTAACCTGTGTCTCATGGTAATCAGTTTTAATTAGAGGGTCTCCGAGTCTGTCTTGCTTGTGGTTTTCGAGGTGAAGGATTTCGAATTTAGGATTTAGGATTTTACCGATCTCAGTCAGTACTGAGATCCTGGCGCAGCAGCCCTGCTCTGATGGTCCCTGCCTCCCTGGGGCCATGTGTCCTGCCAGGCTGGGTGCCACCAGTGCAKTCCTGCAGCTCTGTGACCCTCTTGTCCCCCCACCCACCCTGGCAGTGCTGCATCAGCTCCTGGGAACACCTGGGGGGCTGCAGCTCCCCAAATCCTGTCCCTCAAAGTGCCCCTGCCAGCGCTGCAGGAGGGGCCGTGAGTCCAGCCTGCTGCTGAAGCAGTGACTGCAGAGAGAGGGCYCAGCTGGCTTCTGCTCTTCTGCAGAGGGAAGCACTGGAGGAGAGTTTGTGGCTCCAGGCCATGGCGACCCCCGGGAGGGCACCCCGTGCTGGGGGTGAACCCCCTGCTGATGTTCCCTCTCTCCTTGGCAGTGGAGGCCACTTCAACCCCGCCGTGTCCCTGGGCGTGTGGCTGGTCGGGGGGCTCAACACGACCATGCTCATCCCTTACTGGGTCTCGCAGCTGTGTGGAGGGATGATCGGAGCTGGTCTGGCAAAGGTACGGACACCGACGGGGGTGGGACACGCGGCAGGGCCACAGGGACTCGCCCTGCTCTGGCCCCGGGCTCTGCGGCCACGCTGATTAACCACAGTGTCCTCCGGAGGTTTGGGGGGCACAGAAGGACACGCGGTGCCTCTGCAGCATTGCCATGGT